GCACTGAGAAGAGACAGGGGGCCTTGGGGTGTGGGGGGGGGGGGGGGGGGGAGGGACAGACTTGGTGAGTTTTAAAGGGAGTCACATTTAGTTCTCTTCAGCTGGAGTGGAATGAGTATGGAACAGGGTCCTGTGTGGTGAAAAGTCCATGGGAAATTATGTGAAGGCATGTGGGTTTATCCTTAGTCATCCACCGGGGAAAACAAGAGACAAACAGTTACAAACAGAGAATAAATGAATAAAGACTAAATAGGATGTTTCACGTGTGCTATATTGCTGATACTCGCCCTTCACTACTTTCCACTCTTTTCCTACCATCTCTCTCTTCTTTCCTGAAAGAGTCATAATATGCTAGCCTAGAGGCTCTCAAACTTTTTTCACAGCATATGTACCACCTTTTAATACAGAGATTATCTTGTGGATAGTTCCTTTGCCACTTTCATTTACATAAAATTCTTGCCGCAACTACAGCAATTATTTACAGGAAAAAGTAATAGCATGGAAGTTATTTGCTATACATTAGCCATCTTTTATAATAATGGAACAATTGGAAATAAGGCTGTAAGCAGTGTGTCACGAGAAAGCTTTCTATGGCCCTGCATGAGACACCAGTAGCATATGAACCATTGTTTTGAGACATCTTATGTTATGGATGGACAGGTTGATACAGTCAAATCTGACAGGGTTCATATAACCATTTACTTACCCTTAGACTATCACCAGCCCGGAAACTCAGTTCATCTTCTCCAGAAGCATTGAAATCAAACTTGGCAACGGCCTCCATACTGTGTTCTGGTGACAGGAAAAAGCTGAAAGAGATTAAAGTTTATCATTGCCTGTAGGACTCTGGGTCCTCTGAGTCTGGCTTGTAGAAGAGGTTGTATTTTCCTGTTCTGGAGACTATGAACTGGTGTGCTGATGCTGCGATCTCTACTCACTCAGGGTGCCAATGGCACTGGAATCAGACTTTTGGGTTCTCTATGACAGAGCCTAGGTGGGAACATTTGCTGAAATATAACTCATAATAGTGGTTTGCTTTTCATCAAGAAGGCTCAGAACAAACCAAAGCATTTGCTCTTTCCTATGGACCATTCTTTCCACCCAGCAGTCTTATAATGGAAGTTTGCATACTGCATCCAACTATACTGATAGTAATTCTGACTTGGTTTTCAGTAACCACAGCGCAGTTAAATTACTAGTCCCTCATCCAGCAGAAGGATGCATTTGTTCTCTGCACTGGCCTACTCATTATCATAGACATGCAAACTATGGATTAAAGGGGCATCCTACAATAAAAAAACATTCTTTCTTGCACAGCGGCCATAATATTGAATAAAGAAAGATTGACCGTTTCCTAGAAAGTCCTGGCATGCATAAACCTTGATTTCCAATGATAGAAAGATATTTGTGCAGAAAGGTTGTATTCTCTGTTTTGATGTTTATAGAATACTAAATTGCAAATGATGCCATTCAAGAACTTTGCCTCATTGTCCAACAGCCAAGATTTCAGGAGCCTGAGTTCACATTTCATACAGTTTACTAATTATGAAAGGTACAAGACCAGGGTTTGGCAACGTTGTTGGGCAAAGTGCCAAAAACACTCATAACCTCGACTTGTAAGATGTTGGCGCACTGGGGCGGATGCGGGGGAGCTCCAATGTGCCCAATCTTTGTTCTGGCAGTGCAGCCCCAGCCCCTACCCTGCCATCTGCCCCCAGGCGCACATGCACCCACTGCCAGCAATGAGCTGGGCTGGGGATCTGCAGACCCTGGTGCAGCCACTTGCAGCCTCCCAGCTCTCTGCCACACCCGGTCTGGGTTCTGGGCAGGCCCCTGATTCCTGCCACGAAGCCTGCGCTACTTGCAGCAAGTGGTGGGGAGGCTGCAAGCAGCTGCACTGGGGTCCACAGAGCCTCAGCCCAGCTTGTTGCTAGCAGTGGGTGCACGCACACGTTGGGGCAGAGAGTAGGAAAGGGGGGGCGGGAAGGGGTTATACTGCCACAACAAGGATTGGGCCCCCCACGGCTCCCCTGCCATCTGCCCTGAGAGGTGTGTGCCAAGCAAAATGCCTTTGCATGCCATGCTCTGGTACACATACTGAAGGTTGCCTACCCCTGTATTGGACCAAGAGCCCTGAAAACCAAAGTCTCCTTTTAATCAACACAGCAGATGTAGGATGGGAAGTGGCAGTGTGAACTTCACTTATTCACCATTTCCTGCTAAGGTAAGTCAGATGTGCCATCAAAGAACCATCTTTATGATCAAAAGCTCTTTGCTTCTCCTGGCCTACAGAAGTTATGGATTGTCAGCAGAGGCTGCCAATAGCAAAGCAGGAAGTAGCTCAGTGTCAGTTGTACTGGTGTTTTTTGTGATGTAGGTAAATGTCCTTCTAGGAACCAGTCTGAGGTCTGGTCAGCAATACAAAGGAGGCTAAGTTGGCAAAACTTCCCTTTTGGAGACAACTGTGCCATCAGAGGAGATATTCTGCCAGATTCACTTCTGCCATTCAGAGAGGTGGTGCAGCAAAGGCAACAGAAAAATCTCTTCTGCTCCCATGTGTTGTGTCTACAGTGGGGCTCTGCCGTCATAGCTCTACCTGCACAGCTATGGTGGCAGCAGCTCCATAATGCAGATAAGCCCTGACATGCTTTTTGTAGTTAAATTCAGAAAGTCACCCAACAGCTCTCACATGGGAATAACTTTTAATCTTAACTAACCTGGCTGAACTGGACGCAGTGACCTAGAAGTCAAAGGCTTCATATATCCTATCTACCCTCCCTCCCAAAACATCCATTCTCCAAACCAGGAAGATCTCTAACTTGCCTTAGCTGAAGAACTCTTATCCAGAGGATGCTAGAGAGAAACCTCACTGACAGCTTCTCTACACAGAACATTGTTTCTCAAGTTGACTGTCATACCAGGATTGAGACAGATCAAAAAGCAAAAAGTGCTGGCACCAAACAAGACTCAGAATTAGGCAAGCAAAATGTTAAGTTTTTCAAACTGATGAGCCACTGGAGATTGATTCTGAGAATTATTGTCTCATTCCCAAATATAAAAGGATTTTCACACACTTTCTTCTGGATTCTTTCAGCACTTTTGTTTTTGCTGCTTATTTTAGGTGAATCTGTATTCATGTGACTGAACATAAGCCAGGCCAAACTGAAACAAGGTTCTTGGCAGTCTGCACACAACTCTGCCAGCTCACCATGCTCCTGTCTTACAGAGATGTGTGTTATTTAAGTCCTGGGACTTCCCATACAGCTCTACAAATGTAGCTTAATCCTGACCTAAAGCAGTTGTGCTGTTCTAGACTGCAGAGTTTTGTGAATTTACCTTAAGTATTAATAAAACAGTAAAGTGGTGCAATTCAATGTGCTTCAATTGCAGCTTGCAGCTTCCCAGCTATTCCAGTCCTGTTTGTCTTCTTTTCTCTCACCCCACTGATGCCTGAAAGCTTGTCTAACAGCTCTCCCAACTATACAGTTGGTCCAATAAAAGGTATCGCAAAAAATTCTTGCCTCTTGGGTGTTTCCTGGACCATCACAACAAAACTTCAACCCTATCACTCCACTTACTGATGTATCTTAAGGTTAACGTTTGACACTATTTGTTAAGCTAGTCGTGGGTACTCACACAGATCAGCAAATGCACATCAGTTGTCAGCCACAACTGCCTGAACTATTCCTGTTCTTGACATAACTCTGTTGATAAAACGTGACCTGTAGGCATCCTCAACTATTCTGGCATTGGGAGTTCCACAGCCTTCAACCTGTGACACCAAACAATTGCTTGTGATAGTAATGATTATGATGCAAATGGAGGATTAGGATTTTAAATGGAGGAATGGGTTAACCTTTGGGTGAACTACAAAATCAAGTATTCTGTTTTTCATGCAAAGGTTTATTAGTAATAGAGAATGACAGAGAAACTAAAGAAAATAACTGAGACCAAAGAAAAATTGCTTTAATATGGGGTGTTTTTCAGCATTTTATCTTGAGGCACTGAACTGTTGTGTAAGGGTCACAGCCAGCAATAGAAATACATCTCAGAACTCTTAAGTATAGAGCATTAATCACAGCTTGAGTAAAACCAGTTAAAACCCATAAACTCTGTTTGAATACAAATCCATTCTTTGATTTCTTCCCCTTAGTGGAATTATCTCAGGGATTCTTTTGGGTGGGAGGGGCAGAGCTAGTTTCATTTTTCAATTTCCACACAGTTAAAGGCGATGCTTTAGACATGACCCCAGGAAGGGAGCAGCATTTGGGAAATGGTTAAAAACTCCTTTCTCACCTATTTTCAATTTCAGCGGTCCCAACCTTGGGGATAGACCGAGAGACAGACACCTCTTCAAACAATCTAACAGATGGATTAAATGTGCTTTTCATTGCCAGAGGCTGGATTTAGAAATGACTCAAATACCATACACAGTGTTGGCTGTGTTGATAAATCAGCACTGCAGTAATACCATGGCCCTAAGCTCTTCTCCACCAAATACTGAAGTACCACTGGCCAATAATCCTGTCTTTGAACTCCAGCATAGCATTTTTCATCACCTGAACTTCAAACCAGCCCTGAATTTCTGATCTTTTTCTTCCTCTATTTGTCTCTCTAGATTCCTTATACTGCTTAGGTCAGTTCTGGGTCTTTATAAAAGTTTTCCTGGTAGGGGATCATCCACCCTCTCTCCATCAGCATGTACCTGATGTAATGTCAAAAAAAGAAAAAAAATCAACTCCCTGCTGTTTGTATTTCTAAGCACTTTTTATCCCAATGGATATCAGAGCGCTTGGCAGACTGTGAGCCAAATTCTATGTTCTCCATTAACTTTACGCTAACTAAGAAGAATTTAGTCCTGTGTATGTTGTGTAAAGTGAAAATCAGCCCCATACAGAAGGTTAACACAAAGCTTATGCAGCACCGAAGTCAGGCTTACACCCTATTTTGAGGCCTGAATGTGAAGTTCCAAGCACAAAGGGATTGTGATGTTTTTTTGCAGAGATATGAATTTTCTCAGTGGGGAGCAATCCTTCATAACTGAAACGCAGAGGCAAACAGGAGGAAATGCAGCTGCCCTTCTATGTTATCAATACTACATGAGAGTCATAAGAGGAAAACTGAAAAGAATCTTTATCATTTGAAACTACAGAGGAGGTACTTAAGGGCAGCAGGTTAAATTCCGGGAGGTGGAACTTGGCCAGAATGCTGAGGCTGAGCCTCCCATGTTTATAAAAAGGACCAGGGACTATTTAATGACAACTACCAATCAGGTGTTAAACCTCCTCTGAAAGGTAGCACCCCTAGTCATACAGCATTCCCTCTAACACTATGCTGGGGTGCAAGTGCAATAGAAATGACTCAAAGGAAAGAGAACCACCCACTGAGCCACCAACACTGCTTACTGCATGGCTGGGGTTTTATCTGGGAGCCTCTCATTCAATTATTGTCCAAGCTCAGGTTTGCTTAGCCTGAAGTGATAAGATCACAGCAAGAGGGCATGGCTGCAAGCAGGAGGCCTATTCAAAGGTGACAACTTTAACAAGCACTTGATTTTTAAGCCTGTGGCTGGTATATGTAAGGCTCACAGCTTCATTGCAGTGGGGGCTCATCAAGGGAAGATCATAAGTGGAATGTGCTGTTGTCTGATGGTGACCTGTTGGTCTGATGGTAAGTGGGCAACAGTCCAATGTTGAACATCTATATCAGTACTACAGGTTGATAGTCCAACCAAAGTACCTGAATAGGGAGCCAGGGATCTGGAATGAGCTGTGATATTTTATATATAAGAAGTATTGTTGTTGTCAGC